CAAAATTGTAAGAAGATAAGGTGCAAAATTTTAAGCAATAAAGTAAGCAAACCCAAGGAAAATTCTCACTAGACATTAAGATAGTTGTCTATCTAGATGTGAAGGTTCATTTCCAAGGATTATGGAGGGAGGAGGAGATGGAATGAAACTAGAAAAGAATAAAGACAAGGGCTGGAAAATTGGACCAGCCCCTTGGATAAATAAATGAAGGGAAGAAAATAAAGAAGAAAAGAGGAAGAGAAAAGAATTATGGTGGTGGTGGAGTATTGGCACGCCACTAGGGGGATGAGCCACCCTAGATAAGTGGTGGTTGTCGCCACTTGAACTAAGGTTCAAGATAAGACACTAAAAGAGATGGAACACTCTAAGAAACCTCACAAACTTTTCATAAATGTTCAACCTAATTACATGAGGGGAAGCCTTTTATTTATAGGCTTTTGGGGGAGGGACCTAGATGGAATTATAAAAGAAGACATAAATTTCACCTAAACCTAAAGGCTAGAGTCCCCATGGTCCAAATATGTTAAATCTGTTCTAGCCCACCAAAAATACCTCTAAGGGTGTGGAGAACATGAAAAAAGAGGTGTGTTTCCTTTTGGGTTGTCCCAAGTCAACCAATCCCGCATCCTAAGCTTCTTCCTCTCCAAAAAGGGGTGTAGGACATGAAAAAGGAGTGTCCTACACCTTTGGGCTGCCCATGCATGTATCCTATGGATCCAAAACTTCTTTTCCATCAAAAAAAGGTGGTATTCTTCAAAAAGGAGGTGCAAAAAATGAGCCTACAAAAAGAAAGTGAAAATAAGTGAAAAACTTAGAAAAAGAAAATACTAAGTAAAGATACTAAGTAAATTCAAAATGGAAGGTAAAGAGGAGGTCTCCCTTCTAGTCATGCTTCTAGTAATCCTCCTAGGAATGACCTCTCCCGCCTCCAGGGCAACTAGGGACTCATCAGGTTGTGTTTCGCTCGAGCGACTAAGGTCTCACCCAAGCGACACGTTATTGAAATATGTGGTGACCCAGGTTATATTATGTGGCTAACTGTGTTACACCTTTAGTCTGCGGTCAACACTCGCTCAAGCAAGAGATTCGTGGCTTGAACGAGTTCACCTCCAAATGATGGGGATTCTTAGGTGGTATTTCGCTCAAGCGAAGAAATTCTCGCTCAAGCAAAAACTTCTTGAAATATTTGGAGACCCAAGTAAGGGTTAAGTGTTAATCACTAGTTTTCGTTATATGCAACGATAATGGTTAACTGTGATAGACATTTAGTCATGTTTTAATGTTGGATTAACCATACATGTGCTGACCACCCGAACCTTATCCCAAAAAGTGAACATGACAGTTTCATGTATGCATAAACATGGTAACTTGATTGAGTCCAACATATATGGTTAACTGTCAATGACCGGTTTTCTTTATATGCAACATATTTGGTTACCTCCTTCAGATTTTATGGTTAATTGTGATGGACATTTAGTCATTTTTTACGGCTGGATTAACCATATATGTGTTAACCACCTCAAGTTAATTTGTTTAACTGAACATGGCAGTTTCATGTATGCACATGCTAATTTTATTGACTCCAACATATATCATTAACTGTCAATGACCAGTTTTGTTTATATGCAACGTATATGGTTACCTCCTTCAGATTATATGGTTAATTGTGATGGACATTTAGTCACTTTTTATTGCTGGATTAACCATATATGTGCTAACCAACTCAAGTTTATGTGTTTAACTAACATGGAAGTTTCATGTATGCACATGCTAATTTTATTGAGTCCAACATATATCATTAATTGTCAATGACCAATTTTGTTTATATGCAACGTATATGCTTACCTCCTTCAAATTATGTGGTTAATTGTGATAGACATTTAGTCATGTTTTACTATTGGCTTAACCATATATTTGCTGACCACCTCAACTTTATGTGCTTAACTGAACATGACATTTTGTGTTAATTATATGCTAAGTTTATATAGCCCACATTATATGCTTAACTGTAAATCACATATGCTTAACCACTTGACTATATATCATTAAATGCACATAAACATACATGATCAGCCGAACAACACATCGGAGGAAGATACAATGCTATCACTATGAGATAAAGAGTAATGTACAATATAACATTATCACAGGCCATGAAAATTACATGATAAAGGTCTGCATCAAATATAAATTACAAGTACAAGAAAACCTAACAAAATAATTCATCTACACAACACTTATGTTGCCTTTTTTCTTTTCCTTGAATTAGTCGTCCATGGTGTTTTGACCATAAAACTTTTATACCTTCTTCTTAGATGAGCTTTAAGTCGAGTGTACATATTTGATAATTCACAATGGAACTTTGATTCTTCTTTGGATTCAGTATGATGTTTCATCTCCTTAATACTACTACCTTCAAATACAGGAGAAAAGTACATCCCAGATGATGGAGGATTTACCTCATCTGTTGATAGTTTTGCTTCATTTATAAATTCCTGTAATTGTATTACATCCTCCTCTAGTTTTTCAATTGTTGATTCTTGTTGTTTGGTTATGGCGATATTGATTCTCAGCAATAATTCCACACAACATATTAGTAAAAAATTTCAATTCTTCATATGCATTAGTGGTATGTCCTAATGCTTCTTTCATTATATCATGGGTAAACTCTTTATTTCTGATGCACAAGTCATGAATAACCTATGAATAACAAACAATATCAAATTGAAATCACATTTTGACATATGGTAAAGTAATATTGCAAACAAGTTCTACTAAATTTTTAATGAACTAGCCCTATTATAATTAAACGCAACTACAATCTTGTTTTCCCCAATTACAACAGAGGTCCATTGTAAAAATCTCGGAAATCGACTTATCTCATTACATGATTTGGTATTATAAAGTACATACTTCATAGCCCATATCTGAATTCATATAAACAAAATGCACAATATCAAATCAGATGACCTTATTGAAAGTATTCTAACAAAACATATATCATAATTTAGGATTTACCTGTAACAAAAACACACATCCTAGTACATGGAAGTGTGAACAATTTCTTCATTTCTTCAAATAAATTGATGTTTCACATAAACTTCCAACCAAATATTCATACACTGCTTTTCCCCAATTATACTTTCCAAGACAAGATATATTATCTATTAACTTAAAAAATCCACAATGTGTGATACCTACTTTATTAGGGAATAAAAACTCTGACAAACCTAAAAGTATGTACAACCTACAAAAGTCATCGACATCCTTATCATTTTGACATTTAACAAGTTCATTAAAAATCATTTCCAAAGTAACATGTTTCCCAGTAAATAATCTCCTAGTATGACAATCAATGTTTTCTTCTACAATGTTGACATTTTCGCCTACTACATAAAGTCCTAAACCTAAACACACATCTAACAGTCTAAAGCATACTATCTCAGACCTTATATTAAACCCTCCTCTCTTTTCAACCCATCTACTTATTAATTCATTAAGCAATGTTCTACTTGTTGGCAAATTTTGGGTCATGTATGATACATATTTAAATGTGTTAGGGTCATTATTTATTAAGCCAAATAATAAAGTGATCTGAATAAATTAAAGTTTTGGCTAAAGGCATATGTCATGAAAATATGATTGTGTAGAGACCATAGAGTAATTTTTAATTTGATGAGGGGCCAAATTGAAAATACTAAAACTTAAGTAATTAACCTAATTTTGGTTATATAAAGGGTCATGGTCCCCTTCTGAGAGCACACAGACAGAACACAGTTACAGTCCCGTTCTTTTCTTTCTATCCCCATCAAGAGAGAAAATCAAGAGGGAAATACAGGTGCTCTTCAGGTGGAAGACCATAAGATCAACTCAAAAGTGCTCTACAAAGGATATCGTCATTATGACCAATTCAGGTACGCTTTCGCATTTAGTTTATAACATGTTTACAGTATGGGATTATTGATATATGTTTGATCATTAGGAAGAAGATCATATTTAATTACAGTTTAAACTAACAATTGGTATCAGAGCAACCCATACTTGATTCATGTTTGCATTAGATTTAACAAAATTGATATTTAAGAATTCACGTGGAGAATAATCTCCAAATTTTGCGAACCCTAAATTTAAATTTGGGGTAAAATCCCCAATTTTAAAACCTAATTTCGAATTTGAGGGTGAAATCCCCAAACTGCTTCTGCTCGTGGAGGAGACACTGCTCCTTCGTCTTCATTGGACACTGGATCAAGAGGAAAGTGCTTCGGAGGCTGATTCCAGCAACAAGCGGCTGGTGCTCGCACTGTATGACGCCCTAAACTCTGGCGATTCCACCGCCGAAACCTTCCGATTTATTCTGCAATCCATCGCCGCCTTTGGCTCTACTGTCATCGTCGAGGACTGCAACACTGCCTGCAACATTGCCTGGGTTCACGCCTGGACCGTCACGGATGGGATTACTCAGGAGTTCATGGCTAATTCAGCTTTGTGCCTAACGACATCACCACGTTGTCGCGCCGCATGTGCTTTAACTATCGTAGCCGTCGTAGCCTCAGGATAGCTTCCATTGACGTGCTGTTTTTAGCTCCGGCGCTGAATCTCCGTTGCCGCTGCGACTTTCCCTGTTTGCCAAGGTTGCTGCATCACGCTCTTTATCGTTCTCCAGTGTCTTTATTGAGAAATCCGACGTCCCCGTCGTCGACATTTGAATACGCACACATTCCCTCGCGAGTATTAGCAGAGTAAGCTCTGCTAGGGTTCACATCTTGCGCAGATGAAGTATATACTTCCTGAAGGTGTATGTATAGATAAGGTGCTTGTTTATGACAAGAAAACTTTTATCTTGAATTGTGAAAATTCACATGCGATAGAATATTCAGACCAGTCTCTAGATTCCAGAAAACTTTTGCCTCCTAAGTTCTATCCATCATGGGTGGTCTTCACTAAGAGACAGAGGTTAAATTGGCTTAATACCCAACTCAGGAGGATTTGGCCACACGTTGATGAGGCAGCGTCAGAGTTGATAAGAACCATTGTGGAACCAATTCTTGAACAATATGGCCGATTATTTTGTCTTCTCTCACATTCTCCAAGTTGACTCTTGGCACTGTGGCTCCACAATTTACAGGAGTTACAATTGTTGAAGAGCACAGTGGGCCTGATGGGGTGACTATGGATCTTGAGATGCAATGGGATGGTAACCCGAATATCGTTCTTGACATTAAAACTCGAGTTGGTGTTCGACTTCCTGTACATGTAAAAGATATTGGATTCACCGGGGTTTTCAGGTTGATCTTCAAACTACTAGTGAATGATTTCACTGGTTTCAGAGCGGTTTGTTTTTCCTTGAAAAAAAAAAAAAAACAAAGATCTGGATTTTACTCTGAAGGTTATTGGGGGTGATTTATCAGCTTTACCGGGGATATCTGATGCTATAGAGGAAACAATTAAAAATGTGATTGAAGACTCTATAACTTGGCATGTACGCCAAATTATAACAATTTTACCGGCAGATTACTTGTTTTATGAATGGCAGTGGTGGTGCCATTATAATTTTTTTTATAAATAAATAATATATAAATTTGGTTTAGGGTTACCCTTATTAATATATTCAATTTGTTTGGTAGTTTAATATTTGTGTGAGCAAATTGAGTCAAGAAGTTACCAAAGTAACATCTCTTGAATTGGGTAGTTCGTGAAAAATATTAAATGTTAGTGTTTGTGTATATTCATGCGAGTATTAATTGGCCCAAAGGAAAATTAATATTTGGCCGAATTACATACACACCTGTAATGATAAACATGTGATAATTATAAGGATTTGCTTTGTCGATGATAAATCAATCCAAAGACTGGTTTGTTGTTGGACGTGCTTTATTGTCAATGTTTGATTATTACAACAAGATACCTCTAGCAGTTAATATTACTGTCCAAAGACTTGATATTGATGGTGCATTGGGTGTCTTGAGATGGGTTAAACCATTATTTGAATATATATTTTATTTATAATTATTTAATTTTATAATTGAGCATAATTAATTTATTTCTTTTGTTCTAATCCGACTACAATTGCTTCGTATTCTGCAAATTTGAATTTTGTTCCGATCCTCAATGGAACAAATTTTAAGGACTGGAAAGAGAATATTGATATTATTCTTGGCTGCATGGATATGGATCTTACGTTAAGGATCGAGCAACCCCCTACTCCTACGGATTCAAGTACCTCCGAACAAAAAAGAGATTATGAGAAGTGGGATCGCTCAAATCGCATGAGTCTAATGATCATTAAGCGCGGCATCCCGGAGATGTTTAGGGGCACCTGTTTCGAAAACATCACAAGTGCCAAAGAATTTCTTGTCGAAATTGAACGGCGCTTTTCAAAAAGCGATAAGGCGGAGGCAAGCACTCTTCTTCGAACTTGATCTCCATGAAATATCGAGGCAAAGGAAATATCGGGGAATATATTATGAGCATGTCTAATATTGTTTTTAAGCTCAAGGAACTAAAGCTTGAACTCTCAGAAGACTTGCTCATTCATTTGGTGTTGATTTCTCTTCCCGCAACGTTTAATCAATTTAAGGTATCTTACAACTGTCAAAAGGATAAATGGTCTCTTAATGAACTCATTTCTCATTGCGTACAAGAAGAAGAAAGACTAAAACAAGACAAGACAGAAAGTGCTCATTTTGCAAGCACCTTTAAGGCTAAAGGCAAAAGAAAGAGATCGGAGGATCCCAAGAAGGAAGCTGCTAAAGGTCCAGAACAAAAGAAACAAACTCAAGAAAATAAATGTTTCTTTTGCAATAAGACTGGACACATAAAGAAGCAATGTGCTAAATATCATGCTTGGCGTGAAAAGAAATGGTTGCCTAAACTACCGGAAATCAACTAATTCTGAAAGATGAATATACGTTGAAAATGGAAAATTGGTGGAGATAGAGACTATTGAACATTTTAGATTATTATTGTGTACTGGTTTTTTATTTTAGATTTAAAAGACTTTTTTTGTCGTGCCGTCTTTTAGACGGAATTTAGTTTCAGTTTCTTATTTGGACAAATTAGGTTATTTGTGTTCATTTGGAAACAATAAGTTCAGTCTGTCTTTTAATTCAGATATTGTTATAACTGGTTCATTTTTTGGCTAATGATAATCTATATTTACTTGATACTGTGGTCACCTATAATGAAACTCTTAATACAGAATCTCATGGTATTAAACTAAAATTGGACTCCCAAATAGTAAGTAGTTACTTCATTAGTTATTCTGAAAGATCCAGGGGATATAAATTTTATGATCCCACATTAAAGACAATTTTTGAGATGAGAACTATTATGTTCTTTGAGGATATTGAGTTTGGGGGGAAGAATAAGATTAAGAATTTTGTATTGGAGGAAGAATCGACAATAAATCCATAACCGATTCAAACAGTTACTTTTGATAAAGTAAGTTCGGAACCTCCACAAGACATTGATGATAAACCCCATATTCAAGATGATTTCATTGTTCGTCAAGACCAAACTCAAGATCCTCAAGAACTTGTGCGTCATGAGCCGGGGATACTCCAGTTACTAAGGGAGACAAGTTTAGTCTAAACTAGTGCCCAAAGGGGAATTTGGAAATTGAGGAAATGCAACAGATTTCCCATGCATCAGCTATCGGGAGTTTGATGTATTCCCAAATATGTACGTGTCCAGACATAACATACATAGTTGGGGTTCTAGGCAGATATTTAAGCAATTCAGGAATAGACCATTGGAAAGCAGCAAAAAGGGTCATAAGATATTTAAAGAGAACAAAAGATTATATGCTCACATACAGGAGGTCAGACCAGTTGGAGATCGCTGGGTTTTCTGACTCAGATTTTGCAGGATGTCAAGAATTTGTAGCATGCTATGAGGCATCAAATCATGGAATATGGCTGAGAAATTTTGTCACAGGGCTGCAAATTGTGAAAAAGACCACTTAAGTTATATTGTGACAATAAATCAGCTGTATTGTTAAGAAAAGAGTACAAAGTGGACAGATTTTCATAGAACACTTAAGGACAAACTCCATGATTGCATATCCTCTAACTAAAGGACTTCCGCCCAAGGTCTTTCATGAGCATGTTGCTCACATGGGTGTTTTACAGTTTGAGGAATTTGTGGTTTAGTGGGAGTTAGTCATTTTCATATATTTTATGTTCTATATTTAATTTTATATATGTATACATTGTTTTTTGGACATATTTGGTTTTCTATAGATATGCGGTTTTCTTGTTCATTCATTACACTTTGTACATTAAGGTTATTGTATCGATCTCGATAAGTTAAAGTTTGGACCAGTTGAAAATAGATGTGTACGAGATCACCTTCACGTAATTTTTCATGCTACACATTTCATGATGAATCCATGTCATTTGGTTATGTCGGGATGAGTAATCTTGTTGGTTTTAGTTGCGATGATGCAATGAAAAGTCTGGTTTGGTTCTATATCCTTATATGATTAATGGACGGGACTTTTGGAATATGCTAAAGGAATATAATGATAATTTTGAGCTCATAAAGTCTAACACATTTGTAAGGTTGTAAAAACATATATATTTGTGACCAAGTGGGAGATTGTTGGCAAATTTTGGGTCATGTATATATATGATACATATTTAAATGTGTTAGGGTCATTATTTATTAAGCCAAATAATAAAGTGATCTGAATAAATTAAAGTTTTGGCTAAAGGCATATGTCATGAAAATATGATTGTGTAGAGACCATAGAGTAATTTTTAATTTGATGAGGGGCCAAATTGAAAATACTAAAACTTAAGTAATTAACCTAATTTTGGTTATATAAAGGGTCATGGTCCCCTTCGAGAGCACACGGACGGAACACGATTACTGATCCCGTTCTTTTCTTTCTATCCCCATCAAGAGAGAAAATCAAGAGGGAAATACAGGTGTTCTTCAGGTGGAAGACCATAAGATCAACTCAAAAGTGCTCTACAAAGGATATCGTCATTATGACCAATTCAGGTACGCTTTCGCATTTAGTTTATAACATGTTTACAGTATGGGATTATTAATATATGTTTGATCATTAGGAAGAAGATCATATTTAATTACAGTTTAAACTAACACTACTAATTTTAACCTTTCTACCCAATGACATCAACCATTTAAATGGGTTGACTCAATACGACCTCTTTGCTCTGTTGTAAGAATGTTATTTACTTCACTTAAATAATTTGTCCTACAAACATGTCGCAAATATACCTGAAAATCAAAATAAATAATTATAATTATGACAAAGAATATCCAATATTATATAAATAGATACAATATTCACCTTCTTAACATTTGAACATCCATAATCTATGCTTCCATATCTTTCCATTTCAAAATGCAAATACATATACTGGGTAAAAAAAATTGGAATTTACATGAAACATTGTCCATTTTATTTGTTACATCCTCTGTCAATTTTTTTAATACTGTCAACCACTCAGAAATCAGGTTAGGTATAAATTTTAGGACAAATTACTTTAAATATCAGCAAACTTATCATACAGTTTCTGATTGGATGACAGATACCACCCTGTGACTTCTTATCCTTCCTCACTAGAAAGTGTTTCTACAAAAAAAACACTGATACTCAAACCACAACAATAACTACTAGTAACATGAGCACAATCTAGAAACACAATAAACAACAACAAAAAACACCAATACTCAGACCACAACAACAACTACTAGCAACATGACCACAATCTAGAAACACAATTGTTAAGGTTCCAACATAAAACCAATTGACAATATGTGGAGTAACCTAACATGTATTTAAACCATACCAAATGACATGAGGTAGGCGATGTGAGACTTTCAACACACCCCCTCCAACGAAGCCTGCCGGACTAGACAAAGGGTACTTTTGGCCCAACTAAAGGGCAACTTTTAGCCCATGACAATAACCGGAAATATGTTAGGCTTTGACTCTGATACCATGTTAAGGTTCCAACATAAAACCAATTGGCAATATGTGGAGTAGCCTAACATGTATTTAAACCATACCAAATGACATGAGGTAGGCAATGTGGGACTTTCAATAACAATAAAGAACACGAAACCCAAAACCACCATTATATCTGAAAACTCAGTATCAGAATCATATAAATCCAACACAAGTAATCAGACATGGGGATAAATAAATTAAATTACAAGCCAAAGGATAGACAACAAACATGTCACAGTTTCTTAGAACACTACTAGAAAATATACTTTCAACGTCGCTGTTTAACATCGGTTACATCTTAGCCGACGTTGAACATGCTTTCAACGTCGGTTGGTCAACAACCGACGTCGAAAGTCGAATTTTGACACATTCTACGTCGTTTTAGCATGCACGACGTGGAAAGTAGGCTTTCGACGTCGGTTATGCCCTCACCCGACGTTGAAAACCCTTCTG